GTCTATTGACATCCGACCTAGGAATAATGTCGGTCGTGACTCCAACGGGTATGGGGAGTTTCCGTAGAGTGCAGCCGGGGCCGAAAAAATCTGTCAGGCTAATCTGAAGCTAGTCTAAACCTACATCATGAAGTTAGTCAGCTGCCCCATCCCGTTTTCTTATCAAAAATGTATTTTGTACTATGTTGGAATTCCCCGCTCCCCCTATATAAGGGGGATCCTTTGCACTTTATAAACTTTGTTGCTCCCGCTACTCCATAAAGAAATATAGAAAAACACTCTCTTTGCTCTCTCGCATACTCTCTTAATATTATTGTTTTCATTTCTTATCTTCTTATTTGCTCATCATTTATTGCTTGTCATCGGCCATAAAAAGCCTCCATTGATTCTATTGTAACCGTTAGTCATGTAGCGGCCGCCTTTGTTAGCTCGTAATCGAGCCCGGGATCGACCTTCGAGGCCCAGAATCGGCGAGCCTCAGGCCCCGAGTAGCTAGCCTACCGGTTCGATTGTAGCTCCCTCCTTAACTCCATTTCGTCTTTAGATCTCGTACGCTGGGCACTAGCTGCTTAGCAAACTAGCATAAAAATAGATCACGTATTTTTAGAGTCCCATAAACAAATTTAATTGTTATTACCATTTTCACGATAAACAATCACGAAGGAGAAAGAAGCAAAGGAAGCTCAAATCATCAATATATATTGTTAGTCTTATGATAAACAATCACGAAGGAGAAAGAAGCAAAGGAAGCTCAAATCATCAATATATATTGTTAGTCTTATCATATCAAATGTATGGGGTTCTACCTTGCTAAAGATCGGTGCTATGCTTGCTCTCATCTTCTATCTTAGATCCGGGGTAAATTATCGTTCTCATCTTCTATCTTAGATCCGGGGTAAATTATCGTTGGTTAAAATTTACCTAAAATCTCCTTATTTAATTAGTTTAACAAAAAGATCAACATTTGAAAAAGGAATTTAAGAATTATAGGTATATTTTTAGTTGTATTCACACTTTCTACTTAAGTTAAGCAACGTACGGAAATAGATTAAATGATGTCGAAGTACTCATTCTTCTACATATTTTCTGAAGTCAAATAATTGGAGTTCAAAATTTATTTGGTGCCGCAAATAACTGGGCCTAAAATGGTTGAACTAGAATTGGGTAGGGGCCGCGCGAACACAGGCCCCCGCTACAACAAATTATGATATAGGCTCGACCACTTGGGCTGACCTTAGGCGGGTACCCCTCCAAAGTGTAAAGGAGGACACCAGCCTAGGCCATGGGCCTTCTTGATCTCCCATTGACCCCGTCCAGGTAAGAATGTTTCTTCTTCCTACTTGGCCCATTCTTATACTACCTTCTTCAGCCTCCATCCTCTTTATTTGTCGATGTGGGACAAAACTGGTTTCGACTTCTCTCGTTCGCCACATTACACACGTACTCAAGGAAGAATTTCTTTGTCATTGTTGAATAGAACAGTTCAAATTCTTAACTAAAATTAGCTAATTCTTACCTACAACAAGAGATAAACGCACTAAAATAGCCTTCTGAAATGAATTAACAAATACAACTTACAAGCTAAACTTCCCCATGATTAACTTTTCACTTTATGGCATGTCTGAAACAAGTCTCCAGTAATGTTTGTAAATTAAACTAGGTTGAATTTTTCACATGACTGTTTTTCTTTTTAATAAACTCTTCAATATTTTGTAGCATTGTATATTTGGCGAAAGAAAGAAAGAAATGATTTTATGCATAAAGGATCACTATCACATCAGCTTTAGATGGTTTGCGACTATGAAAAAAATATTATCTGCTCTTCATGAAAAGAAGGCAGGGGAGGGATGACATTAGAAACTAAATTATAATATGATGGTACGAGTCAGAACTTGATTAGTTGCAAAAGACTAAGATCTAGTTCTTGTTTGTTAAAACAAAATATTGCAATGGTCAAATAAGCAACTTTTTGACTAACTCGAACATGCGATGCAAATACATTGTTGTTATTTGTCCTTAAGTTTTGTGTAACCCTAATTTATGATGCATTAATGAATCTTGACAATAGCACATGTAGAGGAACTTTTAGTCTCGATTATATACACGTACCCCTTACTTTATATATCATAAGATATGTTACGCGTAAATTATCAAAATGCTATAGAGAAAGCGTCAGATTGCACATAGGCCAGCTTTATGGACGGACAGAGTTTCATCCATGAGACTTGAGAAAATGTTTACCTCCTATAGCAAAGGTTAACAACTTATTTATTTTAAATAAATATCATTTAAAAAACTTATATTCTATAGATATTTTTTAAGGTTTATAGTAAAATATTTAATTTTGGTTACTTCCTAGCCCTAAGCCATTAAATACGCTATTTCGTTACACTATTTTCTTTCTCTCTCTACTTTGATACATCTCATTCTCTTCCCCCATACCATTAAAATTTCTGCTCTCCTCCTCCTTCTAACGGCATCTTCTCAACTGAAAAATCCAGGAACAGTCCCTAGTCTCTCAGAAACAAAAGCACTTTCAATTTTTATGTAAGTACCAATGAATTGTATGAACTTTAGGCTTTCTGGATCTCAAGGGTGTCATGTTTGAGAGCATCCCCTAATGAAAAGTGTTAATTATGCGTTGTTTGTAGGGTAGGTTAGTTTTCTTGGCATATCCTTTGTATTTAAGAAAGAAAATATCTTTTTCCCTGTTTTTGTTGATCCACATAACATTTCATTTGGGGACGTCTAAAGAAACTCAGTAACTATTTACAATCAATGTTCTCTTCTAGATATCTGTTGAAATTTCCACAAATGCGGCGCGTTTTCACTACCGGTTTTCGATGAACGGCGGATTCGCCGGAATTTAAGGTTTGTTCTTGAACAAAGACAACGGAGTTTGGGGCTGAGCAACTTGATTTTCTGTTAATATATTTCAATGTATTTTCATGTATTTCATTGTATTCATTGTCTTTTTTTTCATTGTAATTCAATATATCTCGTTGTATTCCATGTATTTCATTGTATTCGCTATCTTTTTTTTTCATTGTTTTTCAATGTATCACATTGTATTTTATTGTATTCACTATCTCGCTATATGCCATGAATGTATTCATATGTTTTTTTTAATTAATATAATTTGTGTATGCAGATGTATTATATAATTTCTCTGAAGATTGCTATGTTTTTAGCGTATTTTTCGGTTGAGAATCTTTTTTATAACTGAAAATACAAAAATTGTGTTATAATTGAATTTGTTGAGTTATATTAGGAGTTTATTATGTTAATTGATTCACTTTCCGTTTTTAAAACAGTGTAATTACCTATTTCACGCCGTGAATATAGTCGAATACAATAATCTGTCCAACTGTAATCTCATGTTTCACTCCATGAATACAGTCAAATACACTCGAATACAACAACTGATTAGCTGGACTTCCCTGATTCACGCCTATTTTTACTACTGTATTCATGAATACAATAGCTTAAATACATCAAATATATCTTATAACCACAGAAAATGTATCTATAATCCGTAATATAGCAAATAGTATTTATAGATAGCTAATTACTATTAAAAGATAGTGCTTTATGAAAATTTGTCTTTAATTTGGCATTGTAAAGTTGTTCATTACAAGGATGAACACATAAATTACAATCAGCTACTACATTGGCAGTGGCAACAGAAGGACCAGCCACAGGGTACAATGCAATTGTAACCAAAATTGCTTAACCAGAGAAAATGTAGTATGCAAAGCTGTAATTAAAGGCTATGAGGAACAACTCATGTGTCCGCATTAGGCCACCCTCCCTTCTCTTTTACATGACCCTGCACCTAAAATGTTAATCATGTGACCAACTAATCATTCTAAACCAAATCCATACATCATTATATGGTCCTCCATGGACACTTCAACCCAATGGCGGAGCTAGGTGGAAGAAATTGAATCTCCTTAGTTGAAAAATTATATTCTAATATTAACGCAAAACAATTTTTTTCGTTATATATAAGTTGGTGATCCCCTTGGTGTAAGGAAAAGTCTAGTGAAGTGGCAAAGGGTTTCAAGAATTGCCAATCCATGTGTGACATTTTAATACTTCTTACAAGAGGGGTTGCTCGGATGGTAAGCAACCTCCACTTCCAACCAAGAGGTTGTGAGTTCGAGTTTCCCCAAGAGCAAGGTGAGAAGTTCTTGGAGGGAAGGATGTCGGGGATCTATTTGAAAACAGTCTCTCTACCCCAGGGTAGGGGTAAGGTCTGCGTACACATTACTCTCCCCAGATCCCACTAAGTGGGATTATATTGGATTGTTGTTGTTGTTATTTGTTGTATAAGCCTTGGCTCCGCCAGTGAGTTCAATCGAAAAGTCTCATATAATCATTACAAAAGCTAAATGCATGCTGGTACCTGAATAACGAAACTGTCAGGCCACGACATCTTTCTTGAGGAAAAATATTATCCAGCCAAAAGCTAAAAACATCTGCAGTTCTACGTGCATAGAGCAACAAGGTCAAAACAATAGTACCTTTTTTCTTTAAGAAGGCAGCAATTTTAATCACATTCTGCTGCCACTTGTGTGCATATGGCTTCTCTCAACTCAAGTTAGGTAGCTAGATATTTAATAAGCTTCTAATCATTCACCAACCAGAACCTCCTAAGTAGTAACATGCATAAATTCCTATGCAAACATGTAAAATCACTTGATTTTTCCAACCAAAAAACAAAGGTATTTTGGGACTCTTTGCTTGGTTGAATTCGAGAAAGATAACTTTTGAAGAACTTCACTTTCGTCACAAAAAAAATTGTTGTCCTCAAATTAACAAATACTTAAAGAATGGAAAAAGAAATTATATGAGAAGCAATGCAGGACTAAAACCAAGTGAAGCTTACCAGCAGTCGATATGTGAGTCGCATAAACAGATCAGCAAAATCTTCTTGTAACTCTGCCATGGATGGGATTCACTAGCTCTCTTCTAGACCATCAACAAGAAATCAGGCGTCAGTATCAGTTTTTTTAAAACAAAAATAATAATTGATTGATCTTGTGTTAATTTAGCCTGTTCCAACAGTTTCAGCCGAACCCACTACTTTAGACATAGGGGAAAAACCCTTAAAATGGCGTATATACGTAATAAACCCTTAATTTTAAGACATTAGCCCATCGGAATTAGCAGGTAACAATATACATTGACGTGCTTTTAGACGGTTCCACACAACTCGATTGAAAAAGAGCGTCATGACCCTCACTTCTCATATTACGCAAGATTAAAATATTTTTATTTAACTAGTCAAAGTGCGATTATGCATTTTGAAAACTGTTCGACTATTTACACATTAACCACTCCAGAATTTGCTATTAAGAAAATACTTTAGCCGTCTTTAACAGTTCTTTAATAAATAAATAAAAATATGTAGTTATTGCTGGGTGATGCTTTCCTCGTTTCCTTTTATTTTTCATAATTTATTTGGATTTTCCAAAAATAAAAAGGAAATATAAATGACGAAAGAACAACACAAAAAATCTGAGCACATGATAGACAACCAGATAATGGCTCTAAAACCTTCATGGAGTACGCTTTTTACAGTCCTTATCGTCCAAAGTCATCTGCCGATGTATTTTCTTTTTGTAAAGTATTTCATTCACAGTGAGTTCCCAGCTCCAGGCTTTACAGCAAAAATTCATTCATTAGTCAAAATATTGCGGGAAGTTTGACAGTTCCTAGGGTCTCATTCGGGGGGAAACACTTCCTACCAAGGATTTTTCGATGTCCAGAGATCGAACTCAAGACCTCTGGTTAAGGGAAGAACAGCTTCATCCGCTGCACCACATCCTTTGGTGGTGAAAGTTTGACAATATATAACATCACAGACGATCATGCTTTGATATGATACAAGTAAATATAAAGATTTATCAAAAATAAAGGCAGTCCATTGCTTTGTAATAGAATGAGCATGCCGCGCAGACTTTTAACCATGTGATGAATCAACATAAAATAACTCAACTTGAGCCACATAACCAAGTACATCAACCGTTAACAATGAAGTTAGATTAAACTTTGCAAATTCCAAGAATGAAGAAAATAAACAAACAGCAATCACAGTGATAGTTGATGGTATGCATAGATGAAAATACTAGGAAAGTCGACTACTTTTTTGCCCTCAGAGTCGTATTTTTATTTTTTTTTAGAATTTGCCGTCAGAGTCGTATACCAACCACAAAAGGATGGAATACACACATTGAAGTAACATGGGACTCTAGAAGTACAATTGTAAATGCTTTCATAGAGTCCAAATAAACCCTTACCACCAGTGCCCCCCCCCCCCCCCCC